TTCACTAGGAGGGTTGTGAAACACTGGAATGGGTTACCTAGGGAGATGGTGCAATCTCCTTCCTTAGTGGTTTTTAAGGTCAGGCTTGACAAAGCCCTGGCTGGGATGATTTAGTTGGTGTTGGTCCTGCTTTGAGCAGGGGGTTAGACTAGATGACTGTCAAGGTTCCTCCCCCACTCTGAACTCTAGGGTACAGATGTGGGGACCTGCATGAAAAAACCTCCTAAGCTTATCTTTACCAGCTTAGGTCAAAACTTCCCCAAGGTACAAAATATTCCCCCCGTTGTCCTTGGACTGGCCGCTACCACCACCAAACTAATACTGGTTACTGGGGAAGAGCTGTTTGGACGCGTCCTTCCCCCAAAATACTTCCCAAAACCCTGCACCCCACTTCCTGGACAAGGTTTGGTAAAAAGCCTCACCAATTTGCCTAGGTGACTACAGACCCAGACCCTTGGATCTTAAGAACAATGAACAATCCTCCCAACACTTGCACCCCCCCCTTTCCTGGGAAATGTTGGATAAAAAGCCTCACCAATTTGCATAGGTGACCACAGACCCAAACCCTTGGATCTGAGAACAATGAAAAAGCATTCAGTTTTTTACAAGAAGACTTTTAATAAAAAATAGAAGTAAATAGAAATAAAGAAATCCCCCCTGTAAAATCAGGATGGTAGATATCTTACAGGGTAATTAGATTCAAAAACATAGAGAACCCCTCTAGGCAAAACCTTAAGTTACAAAAAAGATACACAGACAGAAATAGTTATTCTATTCAGCACAATGCTTTTCTCAGCCATTTAAAGAAATCATAATCTAACACATACCTAGCTAGATTACTTACTAAAAGTTCTAAGACTCCATTCCTGGTCTATCCCCGGCCAAGACGACTACAGACAGACACAGACCCTTTGTTTCTCTCCCTCCTCCCAGCTTTTGAAAGTATCTTGTCTCCTCATTGGTCATTTTGGTCAGGTGCCAGCGAGGTTACCTTTAGCTTCTTAACCCTTTACAGGTGAGAGGAGCTTTCCCCTGGCCAGGAGGGATTTCAAAGGGGTTTACCCTTCCCTTTATATTTATGACAATGACCTCCTGAGGTCTCTTCCAACCCTAATCTTCTATGATTCTATTCAAGTCTATAGTTTAAAGTGATTTCTGTAAAACCTGATTGGTTCTATTCCTGCTCAGTTTCATAGGACTTTTAGATAGAGGCACATACTCTTTTCTATTTCAGTATTTTGATTAAACATGCTCCCTTAATGCAAGGAACCCAAACAGGGAGTGCTGAATAAATTGAAAGAAGGAGCCACAGCCAGCCTCCACCACAGGTTCTTCTAGAGGGCATAGGAGAACCTATATTAGCCTACTCCAGGAGGAAGGAAAGGGTTCTGCTGTGCAGGAGCCCAGCTGGAAAGTTAAGAAGTCCATGCTAAGAGCTCTTATCTGGGGGACAAAGTGGTGCTGTAATGTTTTTACAGTACTTTGAAAATCTAGAGAGCCCTATAGTACATATAAGTGCTATATAGTAATATTGTTATTATTTGCTGGAGTTTACATAGTGAGACTGAAGAATGAGAGGATTCTCACATTTTGAGGCTCATCAGCCATCCCCTGGAAAATTGACTAGGAAATGAGATTGTAAAATGCTGTGTGGGAGCAAGTATAGAGTGGAGGAAATGGCTGATAGGGAAAACTTAAGAAATCAGGAATCTCATGGGAAGGGATGGGTAATCTAGGGGAAAAGACATATCTTGTGATGTTTACAAGGGATGACAAGGAAAGTGGGATGGGCTGTGAAGGGGCAAGGAAATGGAGATTTTCTAGGGGTTTTGAAGGGAGAAAAGGAATTAGGCATTATGGCTGGTGATCATGATTTGTCTATGTGGTGGTCTTAATCAGGGTGGGGGAATTTAGTGTTACAGAAGAGTGGGCTAGAGAGAATGGAATAGATATGTTTTTGGAGGCACAAGAAGACATGAAGCTATCACTAGTTCCTGAGCTGGGGTGAAAGAGAGAGAGAGAGAAAAAAAAAATAGTCTTGACTTGTGTGAGGTGCTACAAATATAGGGGAGGCTGAATTCACACAGTGTTGGGGATTAGGAAATTTCATGGAAGATTACACAAACAGGGGTAGAGAATTGAGATCTACTGGACTATGAAGGGTATATGTTATGTAAGGATAGAGAATGAGGTGGAGCCTGACTGCTTGTGGATGGGGTGGGAAGTGTTTGAAATAATTGGGAGAGGAGAAGAGATATAGGGTGTGCACAAGAGAACAGTAATAAAAAAGATAAATGCAGAATACACATACATTGAGATTAACACAATCCATTTAAATCCTTGTTTCTTTAGGAAGAAGAAGAAAAGAGCGCACACAGAGGCTAACAGAGTGGTGCATGAGCAACATTATGAATGTACTAGTGCATGTGAACCAGCAGGAACCAGGATATAGATTAAAATGCTCTCCATTTTTAGGGGAAAAAAGTTGAAAAATGATTTCTCTATTTTAAGTTTCTAGCATGTTGTTAATAAAACAGGTATAATAAGTAAAAGAGACTGGAGCAGGACTAGGAGCAGGGAAGCAGCAAGAGGAGGGCTGGAGCCCAACTAGGAACAGGGCTGGAGCAGGAGCAGGAGCAGGGCTAGGAACAGGGCTGGAGCAGGCTAAGGCCTGGGGAGTCTATGGCCACCGCTGGGCAGGAGAGAGTTCCAAGTTCTGGAGTGACATTGAGCACACTGAGCAGCTGTTCCTCCTGTGGGGCTTATACACCTGATCTGGGAGTCACACGACCTGCTCCTGCCTTGTGGATTGGCTGGAGCCTAACACTGGAGTGACTCATAATCTTACAATAGTGATCTTATATGAGCAAGTTATGAACCTTAAGTAATTAGCCTTTTCAACAACCTGGATAGGAAAACAAGTACTATCATCCTCATTTTACAGACAAAGGAATGGCAGTAGAGTGGTGTCACTTGACCAAATCTACAGAGTCAGTGTCAGGAACAGGTTAAGAACTCAGGAGTAGCGGGCTCTCAATCCTGGGCTCACATCATTCTTCTCTGGGTTACTCAACCCTTTAGCACAGTGGTACCCAAACTTTTCCTGTTGTGCCCTCCCCTTACCAGTAAAGGTATCTGTCCACACACCCCTCCATTACTACACAGTTGGCTCAGCAGAGGAGCTTGGGCTGAATGCTGAGGTGGGGGCAAAACTGGGGAGGGGGGTGGAGCTGGGACCAGAGGCATAGTTGGCCTGGGGACAGAGAGGGAACGAGGGCAGAGCTGGGCTGGGAGCAAATCATGGAGTGGAGCGGAGCTGGGGCTGGGGCCAGAGCTGGACTGAGGGCAGTGCAGGAGGCAGAGCAAGGCTGGAGCTGGGGCTGGAGCTGGGCTGGGGGCAGAGTGGGGCTGGGTGGCGCTTCCTCCCTGCCCACCATGGGGGCTGGCCTGGCAACGCACCCTCCCGAACATTCCTCCATGCCCCCCATTGTTAGGGGACACTGCTTTTGCAGCATTTTTGGAAGAGAATGCTTATATTCTTTTTACTCAAGATGAGAACAGCAAATAAATACAGAAAAGAAACAAAACCAAGGGTAACTGACGTGCACACATCCATATGAATACACTAATATTATTACTTGTTTAGCACTGAAAATGTGCTTGACTGCACATTGTATAAAGCACATGTATCACAAATACTGATCACATACAAAAATAAGTTATTTCCGATTATGCAATGCAATTATTTTGACAATGTCCCTTAAGAAACCATGATTTCAGTTCAAATACAAAGGAAACTGCAACTTTGCATTGCCCTAAAATTTGCTTCACAGCTGCATGAATAAAATTACCATGCGCTTGGAATTTTCATTTCCAGCATCATTCTCTTGTCTTGTTGTGTGTTTTGGAAAACACCATACACATTACTATAGTTAATAACTAATAATACATCAAATGTTATACTTTGAACATATTGGGCCACACCCTCATCTGGTGAGAATCAGCATGGCTCTGTTGACTTAATTCAGATTATGCTGATATACAACGGCTGAGATCAGGCTCATGTCTTCCAACTGAGTGTAAAAAACTACTGCAAAACATTCAAGAGAAATAGAAGGAATGGATTTCAATGCACCATCTAAAGTAATATTTTAATGCCTGATTCTGGACCAGGAACCCATTTACCCAAGTAAATGGACCATGCACTGTGGAGTTCATTGGGCAACGTGGGAATTAATCCTTCTTCTAGGTCACAATGCTACAGCGAAGCTGCTGTGGCACTGGTACTGTAGTCTGAGAGAGGCTGCAGCAAACCCTGTGGCTATGCCCTGTCCATCTCTCTGGGGAGCTTTTCTCATCATCTGTGCAGCCATGGAGCCAACAGAACTACCACGAACTTCCCAGGTGCACTGGGGAAGAGGGAACCCTTTTGGAGCAAAGGTGTCCTTTCTCCTCACATCCTCTTCCCCCCCGTTCCAGTATGTTCAGGCATTCTGTGACTGGGAAGTTTGGAGCAAGATTTGATCCATAGAAAGTTAAAAATTACATGGCATTTTGCAGTGAAGTATTTTAGAACTCTGGACTTGAATTGGAGTTGTTGGTACTATCATTCCAAGAATAAAAAAATCTTTTTGACTATGTTATACTTGTTGCTTGAGATAATGGATATGACAGCAGGAGAGACACAGTATTGTTGTCACATCAATAAGACTGACAACTGACACTGTGAAATATACTCAGGCGCTAATCAGAAAGCTCACTGTTGCTGTTAAAATTGATCTATGTGATTAATTCCGTTTGAAATTTTGATCAAAATTGATCTGTCCAATTTTCTGGTCCCAGTTCCATAAGTCAAATCTTACCACAGAATTACACAAATCAATTTAGTTTGGGCTTCTGTAAAAGCAGAGCAAAAAAGAAGGTAGAAGTAATTTTGGAGCTGTCAGTGACTGATTGGTTTTTTGATTTCACACTTTTACTTAAAATAGAACAGGCCTTACCGTAGCTGTCATAAGCATCTTCACTTGTTCCATGACCATAATCATAATATTCAGGCACACTGCAATAGATTCAGACAGCAAGAAATGTTACTATAATCAGAAGGAATCAACACAAAAGCTTAAATGGTAAACAAAGGTTAAAATATTATTACCTTTATATGCAAGCATAACACAGTCAAATGACACTGTGCAAATATAACCTAGAGGGGACATATTATATTTCTTATTTTCATTTATCTACTAATTTTAAAATAAAATCATTCCAAAAATATGTAAACGTAAGAATTATTTTTCAAAGATGTGGCAGAAGATTAGGGATATAAATTCAATTCACAAGAACAAGGTGCAGTCTTATAATATCCTGCCCTGGGGTTTCCTTTTGGTTTAAAAGTTCATCAGAGCTTCAGCTCAGAAGAAGCACACTGTCCTCTGGAACCTTAGTAGGCCTTCTCCTTTCAATCCTTCCCTAAAGATTGAGGCCCTCCATTGACCAGGAGCCCTGTTCGTTTGCTAGATCCAAAAGGAAGCTTTAGGTTAGACTAAACTCAGGATTTTTAATCAAAAAATCTTTTCTTTGTCCTCTGGAGAATCCAGTTTGAATTAGTATATGCATTTCTCTCCAAGGCTGATAACTGAGGAAGTTTATTAGCATCCTTCCTCCTTAATAGAGAAGTACATACAACACACATACACAATTGCATTTTTAATACTGTGTACCTAAAAGGTGTTAACCTAATTCAGTAAGGTTTAACTTAACTCAATAAAGCTTATCTTAATTCTACAAGGTTTGTTCAGGATATTACAGGATATTGTCAGTCTGTCACAGCCTTTTGTACTGAACCTTAAGATGCTTGCTTTTACTGAGGACTTTGGCTGTTTTTTCCATTTTTCAATTACACTTCCTGCAAAGTTGGTCTGCCTACATTCCATACAAAGGGAAGGCCTGATTATCCACAGCCTTATGGGTTTCTATGACTTTCTGTGACCTCCGTGAATTTTGCAGCCCTGGTGTGGCTGACCCCAGGACTGCCCCGCAGCTGGTCCCTGGTGCTGCCCTGGAGCAGTGGTCTGGGACCAGCGGCGGTGGCAATAGGGCCCCAGGCTGCTCCCACCCCCCGCCCAGACCTGTGGTGGTGGCAGCTGCGTGGCCCCGGGCCATCCCCTGCCTGGATCAGTGGTGGCAGCAACAGGACCCTGGGTTACCCCCCCGGCCCGGACCAGTGACAGGGGGCCCGGCTGCCCCCAGCCCGGACCAGCAGCAGTCTTCAGGAGTATCTTCCTCCCAGCAGCTAAGATTTAGTCACAGATATTTTTAGCATAAGTCATGGACAGGTCACGGGGCTGTGACTTTTTGTTTACTTCCCATGACCTGTCCATGACTTTTACTAAAAATACCCATGACTAAAATGTAGTCTTAACGTTGACAGTGATTTGCACCCACTGCAAAGTAAGTGTAATAAGTTAATAAATGAATAGTAGATTTGTTTTTAGACCTAGTTTGCACAGACCTAGTATACAAAGTGCAAGGATGTGGAAAATCAGAGCTAGTTTCAAAACTACTGCTTGCCAGTTATTTGTTTGTTGATCAACAATGATCACGTATGGTCATAACAGGTTATCAAAAAATGAAGAGGCCATTTTAGACCATTGTTGCATGCTGCTAATTAATGATCTGCAGCTATTGTCTGTAATGGGCACCAGCATATCTGTGAAGCAAAAATGGTAAACCATAGTAACATGGAGATTGAATTAGTCACATTTTAGCTTTACAATTATTATTATTATTTATAATTTGTTTTCCAGTAACACCTTATGTGCCCCCAAATCAGGATCAATTCCCAGTTTGCTAGGCACTGCTAATGAAAGCCTACAATCTATCTATATTACTGAATTGTATTTCCCCCACCCTCAGTGAACTAAATACAAATTATCACATTTGCTGGTAAGTTTTTGGTTTGTTTGTTTTATTTGACCTTTTTTTATTAAAGGCTCCATCTGATAGGCTCTCACAAAGATACCAAAACCTCAATGGTCACCTCAACATTATGATGACATTGCACCCCATAATGCTTTATGGAAATATGCTTATGAATGTATATATGACATAACTGGAATATGTTATATGCTACATATGCTATGTAACATATCTCTGCAAAGGTTACAATCTACTGAATATATTCATCCTATTTGTATGCATGAATCATTTTTGTATTCAAAGTTACGAATATTGGCTGTGTACTTGTTTGATTTTAAGCAGCCTTAGTAAAGCATTTGGTCAGCTTCTTTAGAAAGGAATTTGCAAGTCAAGTGCCCATTAACTGACAATGGATCTTGGAAGACTCTAATCCACATAAGAAGTCTTCCTAGAGATGTTCAAGTTAGCATGTGGGCAATGGCTGCTGCCTGTAAAAACTGAGTCATGTATGGACATGTGACTTGCCTATGTGACTCCAAAACTCCATCTTGGAGCTCAATTTTGCATAGGAGAGAGGAGGGGGTCTCCACCCACAAGAGAAAGTCCATTTAAGCCCCTGGGAGACCCCTCCCTTTTTCTTCAGCTGGCTCAAGAGATAGCCTCTCCACCCCCAAAGGATACCCGAAAGAAACTGGAACAAAGGCCAGCACTCACAAGGGTGTGAGTGATTGTTGGACCTAGACTAGAAGGAGACTAGTCTGTAAAATAAGCTTACTGGAACATCTCTGAGGGTGAGATTTCATCTGTAATCACTTTCTCACTGTATTGGGCATAGACTTGCATGTTTTATTTTATTTTGTTTGGTAATTTACTTTGTTCTGTCTGTTATTACTTGGAACCACTTAAATCCTACTTTTTTGTATTTAATAAAATCACTTTTTACTTATTAATTAACCCAGAGTATGTATTGATACTTGGGGGTAGGGGGAACAGCTGTGCATATACGCTTTATCCAGGGTAAAATGGATTTATTTAGAGTTTGGACCCCATTGGGAGCTGGGCATCTGAGTGTTGGAGACAGGAACACTTCTTAAGCTGTTTTCAGTTAAGCCTGCAGCTGTTGGGGGAAGTGGTTTAAACCTGGGTCTGGGTTTGTAGCAGGCTAGAGTGTCTGGCTCAAACTGGCAAAGTTCTGAAGTCCCAAGCTGGCAAGGAAAACAGGTTAGAAGTAGTCTCAGCACATCAGTTGGCAGTTCCCAAAGGGTTTTCTGTGATCCAACCTGTCACAATTGCATTATTACTTTGGCTATTTTCCAGGAGATTTAAAAAAAAATATTGGTTAACATTTGAATCAGACACATATTTAACACTGCAGAAAAAAAATCCTATAAAGATAATAGAGTTGGGCAAATAATTTTTAACAATTATTTGCTCAGACACAATTTGACCATTGCTGTAGACAAAATGCCCATAATCGGATTTTGAATTTGTTGAATGCAATTCTTATTTATAATTGTTCCTGGAATAATTCTTAAGAAAAATTCATGTACTATAGTTCTCTTGAGAACATTCATTGCAAGTATTTGATATTTGATATTGAAGCAGTTTCGAACAAACATGTTTGTTCCCTGACTGGCTAGGTAACATTTTTATAATCAGAATAGTGAATAGGGAATAGTGATGGAGTAGCAGAGTTAGGAAATAACAAAACAAACAAAAACAAAAAAATCACCTCTTGCAATCTCCAGCTAATTGAAATAAATCATTTCCCTCCAATTGACTGTATAAAACAAGTGACTCTAATCTATACACTTGGGGGACCTAATCCAAAAGCCATTGAAGTTAGTGGAAAGACACCCACTGATTTCAAAGCTCATTGGATCAGGCCCTTGAATAGAAAATAGACAAACAAATATGAAGCCCGGCAAAATGTAACACCTGCAAGAACAGTTAAAATATCTTGCTTCTATACAATTATTTTACTCTGATTAATGGACAATACCCACTTCATCATACACACTAATAAGAGAGTAAAGTCTTATTATAGTGAACATATGGAACTTCAATGGCTAATGAACAGAATTCAAAATGTTATTGTACAAACCAGTAATACAGGAAGCAAGCTGTATTATATTCTGTAGAGGAGGAGCAGTTTGTGATATAGTAAATATTTTATGTTTGTGAACACAATACTTGTTAACATAGCTCACTGAAAATGTCTAAATGGTATTTCAAATTCCATATTAACTCACATTTAGACGGTATTCTGAGCAGTAGCTAAGTGAAGTAAATTCATTTCTTGAAATGAACCCGACTTAAACTCTCATCTCCTGAGACAGGCTGCTGATTCATTAATCCACTCTATTGTAAACCGTGTTGAGTATACATTGCAGTCCATTAAATACATTGTTGACCATTGGCCCCTGACCTGATCTTGGAGGGTTTATAGTCTGGGGTAAAATATAATTTATTTGCTAAGCATGCTTATAGGAATAATAATGGAAGTTATTGAAGCTGTAACAGTAAGTATGAAATCATTAATAATAGGGTTGTTAGGATAATATTAGCAATGCAAGAATTATAGGAAGTTGCTTGTGGTTAGCATAACTGATGAAAAGCAGGAGTTAGTTGGTGACCCATAGTTGGGTCAACTATTTTTTGCCTTCCAGTGATAAGAGAACAGGCAACTGACCATGAACAGGTACACCACAAACTTTTAACATTTGCATAAAGAGTTTCAGGACTTTTTGCAGTTTTGTTACAAGGCAGACCACATTGATGCAAATTACTTAGGTATTGGAAGCATAAATATAGTTAGCTAGAAAGACCTGTATGTAATAAGATGGGCTGATATTGCTGATGCATATGGAAAAGGTGAGCTGATGTTGCCTGTGTCCCTGTGGACTGAATAACCTATGGTTATACATGATTTGGAACTTTCCTTGCTTTCTTGGGTATGTCCATTTCTAGAACAGCATGTTACCTGACCTGGGACCAGTCTCCTGATGTGCTCCACTTACTTTTTCTTCTCCCCTTGTTTCTAATTGTCTCCGTAAAATTGTAAGTATGCACAATGTAAGACAGCCAGTATGAACAGTACAGGAAACCACTCTACTGTATTTATCTTATTCTTATACTTATGTA